GCTAAATTACCCATAGTGCCCCAGGGATGTGCGGGTTAGGGTGGATTGGCCGTGCTACATTACCCATAGTGCCCAGGGATGTGCGGGTTAGGGTGGATTGGCCGCGCTAAGTTACCCATAGTGCCCAGGGATGTGCAGGTTAGGTTGGATTGGCCGCGCTAAATTACCCATAGTGCCCAGGGATGTGCAGGTTAGGGTGGATTAGTCATGGGAAATGCAGGGATAGGGTAGCGGATGGGTCAGTGTGGACTCAATAGGCCGAATGGCCTGCCACCACACTGTGGGGATTCTATAATGTTTCCCCCTTGTGGGAGAGTCTAGCATTACGGGGGTGAAGGTGGGGGACAACAATTCAGGAAAAGGGGGATTGGCCGTTTTGGACTGAGACCAAGACACATTTCTCCCCTCTGAGGGTTCTTTTTCCTGTTTGCAAGAGGGCGTTGGTGGCCGGGTCATTGAGTATTTTTAAGGTGAGCTGGGTTCTGGATTGACGGGAGTCGATAGTTATTGGGAAGGGATGGGATGGGGGCAGGGGCAGAATTAAGGCTGCAATCAGATCTTATAGGATGATAGAGTGCATGAATAGGAAAGGTCTGGAGGGCACAGGCACGTTGGACTAGTTTAGTTCGGGATAATGGACTGATCGGACCAAGGGGTCTGTTTCTGTCCTGTGTGACTCTAAGTTTTGGGGTGGAGGGGATTGGACTGCAATGGTGCAATCAGTCGATATTCCCACTGAACATGAGCAGGTACTGTAACTCTTTAAATTCACTTTCACATCTGTCGTTTAGCTAAATGCTCCATAACTACCTCAAACGCAAGTGGCTTTTATAGGGGACGATGTTGGAAAAAAAAAATTCTCCCAATCTCTCAGTTAAATCTCTCTCGTCTAACCCTGTACCTAAGTCCCTGTTTTTGGACGTTGCAATCACAGCAAACCTGCAGACTTTGCACCATCCTTTCAGCACGTCAAACACCGTTACCAAATCAGTAGTCCCGTCCCCTGCTCCAGGGAGGTCAGTGCCAATCTTTCATCTCTTACTGAAGCTGAACAGTCACCTCCTGCTCTGCTTTCCTTGTATTCCTCCTCCCAAATAACCAGCCCCCTCACAGTCACACGGCACGGAAACAGACCCTTCGGCCCAACCAGTCCGTGCCGACCACAATCCCAAACTCAACTAGTCCGCACCTGCCTGCTCCTGGCCCATATCCCCCCAAACCTTTCCTATCCATGTACTTATCCAAATGTCTTTTAAACGTTGTAACTGTACCCGCACCCACCACTTCCTCTGGAAGTTCGTTCCACACACAGACCACTCTCTGCGTAAAAAAAGACAGTTGACCCGCATTTCTCTTCTAAATCTTTCTCCTCTCGCCTTAAAAATGTGCCCCCTAGTCTTCTAATTCCCCCATCTTTTGGAAAAGACACCTACCATTTACTCTATCTGTACCCCTCACGATTTTATAAACTTCTATAAGGTCACTTCTTGACCTCCTACACTCCAGTGAAAAAAGTCCCAGCCTATCCTTATAACTGAAACCTTCCATTCCCGGCAACATCCTGGTAAATATCTTCTGAACCCTCTCCAGCTGAACAATATCCTTCCTATAACAGGGCGACCAGAACTGGACACAGTGCTCCAGAAGAGGCCTCACCAACGTCCTGTAGAACCTCAACATGACGTCCTCAACTCCTACACTCAAAGGCCTGAGCACTGAAGGCTAAACACTCCTTAACCACCCTGTTTACATGTGACGATTGTGCAATTTTTTTTTTTTTTGCTTGTTCCCCTCTGCAGAGCCATCTCTGGAAGCAGTCCAGACCCTCTCTTATCTTTGTTGGAGTCCTTCATGCGAATTCCTTCCCCTGGCCACGCCGGTTTCCAGGGCCTGAGGGTCTAAATCCTCCAGCTCTCTGTTGTGTGACCAGAGAGAGAGTCTGGAAGGAAAGGGGTAAAGGCAGGAGACTGCTTTGCTCCCATCGGGCCTACTCCACCATCCTCGGCCTGAGCGGAGGAAGGATCAACATTATTCGCATTCCTCCACCTCTTCCCCACCTCATTCCATCACAATCCCTCCGCCCTGCCGTTGCACACCCTAGAAAGATTGCTGCGAAACCTCAAGCTATTTCTCAGTTGACCTTAAGGTCAGAAACGTCTGATTTTATTCCACGTTTGGTTGGCACTTCTATAGCCAGCAGTTGGGGGCCTATCGTGCCGAAAAGCTCCGAGCGGAACCACCCGTTGTGTCTTTGGGAATCCAGGGAAAGAGTGTTCCCTTCCCGGGAGGCCATTGGGTCCACAGCAACTGTGCTGGCCGAGGGAGAGGCTTCTGTCCCCTGTGCCTATCCCCCTCAGCCAATCCCCTTCAGTCAAAGTGGGAGCGGGGACCCAGGCTCCATACTGGCATGGCATGGAGATGGCATGGTCACACGGGGCCGAGTTACCTCCTTCAACCCTGCACAGGGTCTGTGTGTGTGCGAGTGCGAGTGTGTGTGTGTGTGTGTCTGTCTGTGTGTTTGTGTCTGTGTCTGTATGTGTGTGTGAGTGTCTGTGTGTGTGTGAGCGTGTCTGTGTGTGAGTGTGTGTCTGTGTGTGAGTGTGTGTCTGTGTGTGAGTGTGTGTGTGTGCGTGTCTGTGTGTGAGTGTGTGTGTGTGAGTGAGTGTCTTTGTTTCTGTGAACTTTGCCCCGCTCTGGGTTCACTGACCCGTTTGTTATCAGGTTCCAAGCTTGTTAAACAGTGTGTGTGTGGGCAGCGAGGCTAACGTTCTGTCTTCCCTCACAAACAAGTGCAT